ATTTATTTGGCACAGAGAGAGAGACAGAGAGAGAGAGAGAGAGAGAGAGATCACAAACAGGGGAGTGGCAGGAAGAGAAGCAAGCTCCCAGCTGGCAGGGAGCCAGATGCGGGGCTCAATCCCAGGACTCTGGGATCATGACCTGAGCCAAAGGCAGACCCTTAACTGACTGAGCCACCTAGGCGCCCCTGAATTTTAATTTTTAAAAACCTAGTAACAAAAACAGAGATCCTAGGATTTGTAACTTAATATGTGAGCTTGAGCAAGTCACTTCACTTTGTCCTTTATTTTTCCATTTGTGTGAATAGCTCCTTAAAGCCTTCCTAAGAGGCCTGATATCCACTATAAATTTAAGAAGCTGAATGAAGGACTATCTAATCAGATATGAGTAATATACAGCTTATAAAAGTTGACATTATAAAAAATTGAAAAGCGAGCTTCTACTTCATAAAGAATAAGCCTTTCTCACAGTTCTCAATATAAAATAATTTACTAGTTGTCATTCCTTAAAAGCTTGTGTGTCAGGAAGCATAAGTGCTTTGCATGTATTATCTCATTCTCACAGAACTCTAAAGTAAGCAGAAATTAAAAGAAAAAAAAAGACTATGAGAGGTTAAATGACTTGACCAAAGTAAATACACAAGCTGGGCTTAAAAACTCAAATCTTTATCACTCTTTTTTTTTTAAGATCTATAGCATTTTAAACAACAATTTCTACACCAAGGTATAACAAGAGCAACAATGGACTAAAAATCTGAAGTCTGGGTTTGAATCCTGTTTCTGCCATTTGATGATTCTGTGCTTTTAGGCAAGTCAAAGAACATTTTAGTTTTCTCATTAAGAGAAAATATTAATCCCTGCCCTAACGTATCTCATAAAATAATACAAAAAGGCACTAATATATCTTTCAGTTAAAGTTCTGTAGAAATGTTAAGAGGTAACTACAGAAATGTAGTACTATTGATAAACCAAAAACATGTTGAAAAATGAATGGTTTTAATAATCTACACAGTCTCTCTAACAGTAACATGTACTAAAGCAGTGAATTTTAAAACATACTCTTCTCAAGCACACCCAGGTACTATAGACTGAACGTTTGTGTCCAGCCCCAAATTCGTGTTAAATCCTAATGTTCAGTGTGATGGTATTTGGAAGTGGGGCCTCGGGAGGTGATGAGGTCATGAGAGTATAGCCTTCATGAATGGGATTAGTGCCCTTAGAAAACATTCCAGAGAGCTTCCTTCCTCCTTCTGCCATGTGACAACACAGCAAGACTGCCATCAATGAACCAGCATGTGTTCCCCACTGAACACAGAATCTGTTGGCAGCTTGATCTTGGACTTCCAAGCCTCCAGAAATGTGAGAGATGCATTTCTATTGTTTATAAGCCACCCAATCTATGGTATTTTTGTTATGGCAACTCTTAACACATCATCTGGCATCATCTACTGGCTTCTATCAAGGAACAGTGAAACCAGGATTTCAGGCCTTACCCCAAGAAAAAGTGTGGTGTTTTGAGACTAAACATCAATTGAATCCTAATTCTGCCACATACTAGTTGGGTGACCTTTAATCTCAGTCTGAATTTCCTTATAAATGCAGAGAAATATATACCTTGCAAGGTTGTGATCAGATTAAATAAACATACATAAAGCTATTACTACAAGGACTGGCACAAAGTACCTACTTGGGAAAAGAAAGTAATTGTTATTATTACATAACAATACAATAATAATAGATATTATTACATATCTAGCAATATTCTGGAGTTACTAAATTAATTTGAAAAACTAAATTATGGAAACTCAAGGAAAATCATAAACTCAAAACCACTTTGAATATGCAAACACATCTAAATAAGGTTTAGTGAAATTAAAGGCAAGAGATTATAAATTGAAAGAGTTGAAAGAGTAAGTCATATAAAAGACTGTCAAAGGAACAGGTCCAACTTGAGAGTAAGAGATGGGGGAATGGAAAAAGATGGGTAGATAAGAAAAATGCAAATAAATGAATAGAAGGAGAAATAAAGAAGGATGCTTTAAAATTGGTTGAAGTGAGACTTCATAAATCAAGACTGAGGCAAAGGCTGAATGCTAGAGTATTTGCAAAGAAATAAGATGCACAACTCAAATTAAGTATTGCCAGGATAACAACTATGAATCCAAAAAACATAATGGGTCTCAGAGACTCAAGTCTTAGTCTTTAGTGGCCCCACCATGAAGCTTCTACTGCCTTAGTATGAAGATTTGAGTTTTCTCTTTTATTTTCCTTAAAGATTTAATTATTTCTTTGAAAGAGAGAGAGAGAGCGCACAAGTGGGAGAGGTAGAGGGAGAGAATCTCAAGTAGACTCCACACTGAGCATGGAGCCCAACTCGGGGCTCCATCTCATGACCCTGAAACCATAACGTGAGCTGAAACCAAGAGTTGGACACTTAACCAACTGTGCTACCCAGGCACCCTGAGTTTGTTTTCTTATTTATTAACAAAAAATATTCAAATGAAAGCTCTCTAGGGCAGGGAGAGAGTCTATATTACCACTAACTTTAGACTCAGCTGAGGCCTGCCTATGTTCCAATAAGGAAATAGAAAAGAAAAACATAGGAAAACAAGCCACTTGAGGAGCACATAAAATTCACCAACATAGCTCTTCTCTTCACAATATTATAAAGAAGGATTTTTCTAAAGAACTTTATTTTCTAGGATAAGCAATTAACAAAGAAGACCAAAACATCTATTTAAAGAGGGTAAGTTACCAAAAATTATACAATCTTCTAATCAGCAGATTTTCCCTTTATTTTCTCTTAGTGTTTTTCTTTTCAGTTCTCATCTTCAGAGAACTTGTTTCAACAAAGTGAGAAGCTGAGCTCTAAACCTAGCTGTAGCATGTATAGTTACCAAAAAGCTAATATTTTTATATATTTTTACAGAAGAGTGCTGGTATACTAAAGGACCAAATTTTAGTTTAAGAAAGGCAGCAATTAAGACACATACCAACAATAAATGTTACATTTATTTTTATACTCCAGGTTAATTTTCCCAAATAATCTATCATGGATCAGTTTGCAGATCCTCCTTATTCATGTTACAGTCTTACCCTTCTGTCTTCTAAAGCCAAAACAATCTCCATTTTACCTTATATGAGGCCTTCTACTACCTCTTTCCATTGTGCATCCAACATCTATCTTCTGTTAAGGTTTTCTCCCATTTCTACTGTGTATCATCATAGTCAGGTCTCCAATTCTTAATTTCCTTCCCTGGTTTTTTCACCGCCCCCCCCCCGCCCCCCAGTTCTCACCACCTCTCTACCCTACTGTTTTAATTTATGGGATTCTTCTTTCTCTTTACTCCAAGTACCTTCTTTCACAGTACTGCATCTCTTATCCTCATCTCCTTTTTGATCAGTTTTTGTACATATTACTTCTTTAGAAACTAAAGTTTCTCCTCTCTAGTCTTTACTCCAAGTCTACCTATCAACCCATCTCTAAAATCCCAAACATACCTTTTTGACTACCTCATACCTATTCTTTCTACCCCTTTTCTCTTTATAGTCACTAGTCTCCAGAATACTATTTGATACTACAAATACCCCTCAAAAAAACCTGCCTATTCAATTCCCTCTGCTTTCTCGTAATTACCTCTCCCATGTTCAACTCATACCCGTCTCTCCTATACCTGAGTACCCCCGAATCTGGCACAAGCCATTCAACAACCTAAAATTCCCCAAACCTATCTCTTCAACAAAGCTCCTCCTTTCCCGGTAAATGGTTTGCCCCAAAACATTTTAACTGGCTACTGTGAATGCTTCATTAATTCTGAGTCTTATCAAACCAGTATATACCTTCCACCAGACTTATTTGCCTGGCAAAAATCAACTGCCCAGATATTCTCTTTAAGCTTCCCATACCTTATCTCTGCAGCACTTTCATTCACTAAACCCTGTTCCCAGTCTTTTCTCCATCTCTAGAGTCCATGCTCACTCTCTAAGCACCTCATCACTCCTCCCCTCCTCAGCACATTCCTATTACCTTTAACAGTCTACTTGGTTATATTCTCCATCTTTCCTTAGCCCTGTTTTCAAGCTTTCTCAGTTCTCCCATAAGAGATCTAATCTCCTAATCATCCCCGCACTCTCTGAATCTGCCTCTTACACCTCTAGGAACTCTCTCTAGAACCTTCTGTTCCCTGAATCATGGAACACTACATCAAAAACTAATGATGTGATGTATGGTGATTAACACAATAAAATAAAATAAAATAAAATCAGCACTAGAACCTTCTGCTCCCTAGTTTTCTTTCCTTCAACCCTGCCTCAGGTGTTCTCATTTCCCTCAGCTTTTCTTCTTTTTTGTTTTTTTCTTAATCTTATTTATTTATTTGACAGAAAGTACAAGCAGGGGGAATGGCAGGGAGAGGGAGAAGCAGGCTCCCGCTGAGCTGAGAGCCCCACGTGGGGCTCGCTGGATCCCAGGACCCTGGCATCACGACCTCAGCCAAAGGCAGCCGCTTAACCGACTGAGCCACCCAGGCATCCCTCCCTCAGCTTTTCTCATATCTAGTTCTTTCAGTCTTCTTACTACTCCCAAATCTTTCCCTAATTGTTCCCCTAATTCCCCTCAACTTTTCTTTCAGTTATTCTCCATTTCCTTCAACCCTCCCCGACAGATATTCCCCGACTTTTGTCACCTCTACTACCTTTCCTCAAACCTCCTCCATCACTTCTTCTGGAGGTGCCTCCTACATCTCATAAATTATCCTCTCAGCTTTCTCAATCTGCCTCATTCCCTCCTTCCTTCAATACTATGTCCTCAAATTTCCATTGACTTGGCGCCTCCCCTAGTTCCCAAATTCGCCTTCAACACCATCTAAATGTCTCCAGGCCGCCGCCAATATTCTCTCCCATCCTTAGCTCCCCTTGCCATGACGCTCTAAACGCCCAGAGACACCATTCTCCAATGGCCGGGGCCTAGCCTCTAGGGAAAAGGGGTATGGGTCACGTACCCCATTCGCATCTTGGCTCCGCTCTGACTGCCCCCGCTGCCGGGGAGAGGTGGGCGAGAGGGCAGGCGGCCGAGGTGCATGCTCTTCTCGAGGGCCGACATGAAGGGAAGGCCTCACGTAGTCAAACAGTAGCCTAAGCTTCGTCCCACGCTAAGTGCGGCCCAGCCGGTCCCAGCTCGCTCCCCTAGCGACGCCCAGTGCCTTTGGACAGCACCCAGCTACCGGCAGCACCGCCCACCGCCCACCGGCTCCGTAAACTCCACCCCCTCTCGTCAGAGCTTCCACCGGAAGTGCGCAACAGTCCTCCATAAAGGAAGCTGGGTAACGGAGTTTACGGATCTCTCAGACCCCAAGCGGAGACCTCATTGACCCTCGCCGGAAAGACAAGCCCTCCTTAAAGGCAATGCACCCTGGGCAATGAAGTCCTCAAAGGGCGTATCGCTTTGCGCTTGCGCAGCTGGAGGCGACAGCGGCCAACCTCGGAGAGGTAGTGTAGCAGAGCATTCTGGGTGTTGTAGTCTATTTGCGGGAACAAATCTTGGCGCCTTTCCTTCTCACTGCTTCTCGCAGACTGTTACCGGAAGAGCCGCTTCTTCCTGCTTCCCAGGCTGCCCGGCGGCTCCGGTTGCCGGGGAACGCAGGCGCCTTGGGAAGGGATGGCGGGAGGCTACGGCTTAGGTGCTGGAGCGGGAGTTCAGTTGGTGAAGAAGAGCTCTGGCTCGTCATGAAACAACGAAAAGGCGAGGGGCCTGTGGGCGTCCGTGGCCGCAAGAAAAGAGGTAACCTGAGCGACCAAAGATTGAGGAAAGAGTAATGAGGCGGAGTTAGGGGAGCAAGGTGTAGAGAATTCTAGGGAGACTCCCACACGCGCTTGTAAAAAAGCGGGGAGAAGGGAAGAAAGGGGGAAACAACCAAGGAATCAAAAGTTAAGAGAGAAGCCAATTGGCCGTCCAACGAATGAAAAGGAAATAGGGGCTGAAGTGGGGGGACAAAACGGGCAAATAAATGGGGCGAAGTGAGGGCTAAAAGGTACAGGCAGAACGTTTCTAAAGAAAGGGAATAAAAAATACTAGGAATTTTTTAACTTTTTAAAGTGAGATATAATTGACATATAACGTTGTCTTAGCTTTAGGTTGTACAACATGATTGGATATTCGTATATATTGCGAAATGATCACCGCAGTAAGTCTAGTTAGCATCCATCACCGTACAATTACTAAAAATATTTTTTGTTGTCATGAAAAAAAATTTTTTTAAGATTTTTATTTATTTATTTGATAGCGAGAGAGGTAACACAAGCAGGGAGAGTGGGAGAGGGGGAAGCAGGCTTCCCACAGAGCAGGGAGCCCGATGCAGGGCTCGATCCCAGGACCGTGGGATCATCCTGAGCCGAAGGCAGACGCCCAACAACTGAGCCACCCAGGCGCCCTGTCATGAAAAATTTTAAGATGTACTCTTTTAGCAACTTTCCCAAATATATAATAAGTACATTATTAACTATAGTCACTGTGATGTACGTTACATCCCCATGACTTAGGAGTTTGTTATTTTTTTTTAAGATTATTTATTTATTTACCAGGGAGAGAGAGGGAGAGAGAGCGAGAGTACAAGCAGGGGGGCGGCAGGCAGAGGGAGAAGCAGAATCCCCGCAGAGCAAGGAGCCCGATGCGGGACTTGATCCCAGCATCCTGGGATCACCACCGGAGCCGAAGGCAGACGCTTAACCGACTGAGCCACCCAGGCGTCCCAGGAGTGTTTTTGATAACAAAGTTAAATGTGTGTTTGTGTGTGGGAAGGTATACCTTTGGAGTTCCACATGGACTGGAAGACACATAAATTGGAGAGGTGGTATGTCAATAATTCTAATAGGCAAGGATCATGTTTTATACGTTACTGAATCCTTAAGAACAAGCACAAAGCAGGAGTTGGTAGATGTTGGCTGAATGAGTCAAACCTAAGACAATCATGAAGCGTGAAGTTGGGAAAGATAGTTGTGGAGGAGAGAGGAAGAAAGAGTGGGGAGTGACAAGGTGTGGTAGTGTTGGAGTGGGGGTGAAGGCATGAGAATCTCTGAAGGATTTGAGAGGATGAAAGAGTGTGTAGCAAGAGGACCTTATCAGGATAGTAGGCTTAAGAAGAAACATGCTCACCAGAAGAGCAGGGAAATGTTAGCTGCAGAGAGAACAGTTGCCCTAGTAACCCAGGACAGATCAGGAAACTGGAAATTGAATCTTTATAGGGCTGCCTCCAAAACAACAAACAAACTTTGTGTGACTTTGCCTTTTTACATTATAGGTAAAGTAGTATTAGGAACAGTGATAGTACATTAGGCCACTGGCTTGAGACTGAATCTACAGTCTGGAAATGAATCTTATCCAAGCTGTTTAAAGATAACCAAGGCAGTTCTGAGGCAGCACCTTTCCTGCCAGGAATGATGGGAGGATATGAAATAGAAGCATGGGTATATTCAATGCTGGTGCTCCCTATGCCAAACCAGTCAAGCATATTTGGGTGATAGGAGGAAAATAAAAATAAAAATAACTTAAGAATGTCCTTGCTGTACCATGTGTGTATATATATACAATAATGCTCATATACACACTTGTGTATTATTTTTATATTGAAACTAGTTATCCAGAAAGATTATGGTTTGTCATCTTGAACCATAGAGAGCAGAGATGTTCGCTTTAGAAATCCAAAGACTGACTTATATAGATCTCCTGATCTGATATACTTCAGTATATTTTCTTCTTGTTAGGCGTGACCACTCTCCAAGGGAAAAGTAAGAGGAATAGAAAGGTGTGTGTAATATGGGAATGGTTTCTTTTTTTTTTTTAATTCCAGTATAGCTAACATACAGTGTTAAATTAGTTTCAGTTGTGCAATATGGTGATTCAACAATTCTATGCATTACTCATTGCTCATCATAAGTTTACTCTTTTCCTCATCACCTATTTCACCCATCCCCCCACCTCTCCTCTGGTAACCATCATTTTGTTTTCCATAGTTAAGAGTCAGTTTCTTGGTTTGTCTCTCTTTTTTTCCTCCTTTGTTCATTTGTTTCTTAAATTCCACATGAGTGAAATCATATGGTATTTGTCTTTCTCTGATTTATTTTGCTTAGCATTTTACGTCTAGCTCCATCCATATCGTTGCAAATGGCAAGAGTTCATTCTTTTTTATGGGTGAATATTTATATTCATATACAGTTTCTTTTTTTTTTAAGATTTTATTATTTATTTGACAGAGACACAGCGAGAGAGGGAACACAAGCAGGGGGAGTGGGAGAGGGAGAAACAGGCTTCCCGCTGAGCAGGGAGCCTGATGCAGGGTTCGATCCCAGGACCCTGGGATCATGACCTGAACCAAAGGCAGACACTTAACGACTGAGCCATCCAGGCGTCCCTCATATGTAGTTTCTTAAATCTCCTCTAAGTCATGATTAGGAGATAACTATGAATGGAAGACAGTCAAGGTCATTAAAGGAAAGTTTTACATAAAGTCATGATTAAATGCCTTGTTTATATTTATTATCTGTCTGAAATCCAATAAATATTATAAAAGCCAGTAAATATTCTAAGCCCAATACTGTACTAAAAAATAGTGGCAGAATCTGAAGATGATAGTGTCTGTCTTCATTGACTGAATGATGTTGGCAGGAAAGAAACTCCACAGTTCAAGGTGGTCTTAATTGAAATGCTAAGTTGTATGGTATAGACTTAATCTTTTGAGCATTGAGTGAAGGGAGTCATTGCTGTTTCATGTTTAGTAATGGTTTTAAAGTAAGAGAGGTAGAGATAACATATCTTAAAACCTGGATATTGCAATAATAAAAAACAACACTACTTGGAAGAAAAATTTCAGCTACTTTTGAGATTTTAAAAACCTGTGTACTGTATCATCATGCTCCTATTTTTGAAATGGTATCTTTTTTAATTGAAGTATAGTTGACATACAATGTTAGTTTCAGGTGTAGAACATAGTGAGTCCACAGATCTATATGTTACACTATGCTCACCACAAGTGTAGCTACCATCTGTCCCCATACATTATTACAATACCATTGACTATATTCCTTATGCTGTACCTTTTATCCCCATGACTTATTCATTCCATAATTGGAAGCCAGTATCTCCCATTCCCCTTCATCTATTTTGCCCATCCTCCCACTCCTCTCCCCTCTGGTAACCATCAGTTTTTACTTGTATTTATGGGTCTGTTTCTGCCTTTTGTTCGTTTAGGTTCCACATGTAAGTGAACTCATATAGTTCACTATTTGCCTTTCTCAGTCTGACTTATTTCATTTAGCATAATACCCTCTAGGTCCATCCATGTTGTTTGAAAGGCAAGATGTCATTCTTTTTTTATGGCTGAGTAATATCCCATTGTGTACATACACCACATCTCCTTTATCCATTTATCTATCAGTGGATACTTGGGTTACTTCCATATCTTGGCTACTGTAAATAATGCTGCAATAAACATAGGGGTGCATATATCCTTTCTAATTAGTGGGTTTTTTTGTTTGTTGGGTAAATACCCACTAGTAGAAATTACTGGATCGGGGCGCCTGGGTGGCTCAGTCATTGAGAGTTTGCCTTCGGCGCAGGTCGTGATCCCAGGGTCCTGGGATCGAGCCCCACATCAGGCTTCCTGCTCTGCGGGAGGCCTGCTTCTCCCTCTCCCACTCCCCCTGCTTGTGTTCCCTCTCTGGCTGTGTCTCTCTGTCAAATAAATAAATAAAATCTTTAAGAAAAAAAAAATTACTGGATCATATGGTAGTTCTATTTTTAATGTTTTAAGGAACATTCATTCTGTTTTCCAGTAGCTACACCAATTTACATTCCCACCAGTGGTGCATGAGGGTTCTTTTTTCTCCACATCCTTGCCAACACTTGTAGTTTCTTGTCTTTTTGATTCTAAGCATTCTGACAGTGTAAGGTGATATCTCATTGTGGTTTTGATGTGCATGAAATGATATCTTTCAATTAAAGAGGAGTTTGTTTTAGCATGTCTTAAGTTGGTATTATGTTCTTTACTTAGAATAACCTGAATCACAGTCTGAATACTAATTAGTTATCAAGGTGGCTTCAGTGACCAGGTAGGTTATTCTATGGTCTGGTTTGCCATTTACTTCTCATGTATTAAAATACATAGGATAGGGGCACCTGGGTGGCTCAGTCGTTAAGCGTCTGCCTTCGGCTCAGGTCATGATCCCAGGGTCCTGGGATCGAGCCCCGCATAGGGCTCCCTGCTCAGCAGGAAGCCTGCTTCTCC